TTTGTGCTTCCTGATCCATGGTTATTCTCTCCATTCTTCCTGTCGCCATTCGAGCTATGTCAGTGAACACTTCCCCCACTGTGAGATTAATCCATCCTTGATCCCAGTCCCTTCTTATTCTACTTTTTACCCTATAGTTAATCTGGCAGTGAGATCTCACCTATCTGAAATATGGCTTTTCAGAACTCAGTTCAAGTTCACTGATGTCTAAATCAAGTTCTTGTATACAGTTTTATACTCTGAAGATAAACACAATAATAATTCTCTACCCTATACTTATGTGGTTATAAGTCCTTAGGGTAACCACAAAAAACTAGAATATCTATAAATTTTAATTAATTATCTAACTTAGCTGCTTAAGAAATACTCAAATGTGAAAACAAGCCAAATACATAAATCTTAAAAAAGAAATTATGACAAGTTGTCATGAGGGAAAGGGGGCCAGTGCTGTGGCGTAGCAGGTAAAGCTGCTGCCTGCAGTGCCAGAATCCCATATGGGCTTCAGTTCATGTTCCATCTGCTCCACTTCCGATCCAGCTCTCTGCTGTGGCCTGGGAAAGCACTGAAGGATGGCCCAAGTCCTTGGGCCCCTGTACCCACATGGGAGATCCAGAATAAGCTTCTGGCTCCTGGCTTCAGATCAGCACAGCTCCAGCCCTTGCAGCCAACTGGGGAGTGAACCAGTGGATGGAAGACCTCTCTCTCTCTCTCTCTCTCTCTCTCTCTCTCTCTCTGTAATTCTGCCTTTCAAATAAATAAATAAATAAGTATCTTTAAAAAAAAAGAGGGGGGGCAGCACTGTGGTGTAGCAGGTAAAGCTGCCGCCTGCAGTGCTGGCATCCCATACGGGCACCCGTTCGAGTCTTGGATGATCCACTTTTGATCCAATTCTCAGTTATGGCCTGGGGAAGCAGTAGAAGATAACCCAAGTCCTTGGGCCCTCACACTCATGTGGGAGACCTGGAGGAAGCTCCTGGCTCCTGGCTTCAGATAGACTCAGCTCCTGCCATTGTAGCCATCTGGAGAGTGAACCAGCAGATTGAAAACTCTCTCTCTCTCTCTCTCCCTTTCAAATGAATAAATAAATCTTTTAAAAACAGGAATATCAGAATGTGTATCTATAAACAGCTAAAATCTTTTTTTAAAATTATTTATTTGAAAGAGTTACACAGAGAGGGAAGGAGGCAGAGACAGAGAGGTCTTCCATCCGCATCTTCTACTGCTTTCCTAGGCTGTAGCAGAGAGCTGGATTGAAGTGGAGCAGCCAGGTCTCGAACCGGCGCCTATATGGGATGCTGGCACTACAGGCAGTGGTTTTACCCACTATGCCACTGCACCTGGCCCATTGCTAAAATCTTTTAAAAGAAACAGTAGCAGTTGCAATAAGAACTTTCATTCATCACTGTCCCACCCTCCCTGTAGATTTGAGAAGGAAATTGCTTTTGAAAACAATCATGTCAACACCATGCAGGAAAAACAGAGACCATCCAACTTTATTTAACACAGTAAGCCCACCAATTCCAGTGCAGCCACCTGCCAAACCAATCAACCTTGTAGGATGTCACTATGCAGACATGATAGAGTAATACTGGAAGCCACACAGGGAACATCAAGTTAGTTTCAGAGATCAGATATCACACCATATTACAGGTCATCATGTGGACCTAAAAATCAGTATTACAGGTCACTGTCCAGGCCTCATACTAGTTTCAGTGGCCATCATTTTTTTTTTCTTTTTGTTTTGTTTTATTGACAGGCAGAGTGGACAGTGAGAGAGAGAGACAGAGAGAAAGGTCTTCCTTTTGCCGTTGGTTCACCCTCCAATGGCCGCCGCTGCAGCCGGCGCACCGCGCTGATCCTGGCAGGAGCCAGGAGCCAGGTGCTTTTCCTGGTCTCCCATGGGGTGCAGGGCCCAAGCACCTGGGCCATCCTCCACTGCACTCCCTGGCCATAGCAGAGAGCTGGCCTGGAAGAGGGGCGACCGGGACAGAATCCGGCGCCCCAACCGGGACTAGAACCCGGTGTGCCGGCGCCGCAAGGTGGAGGATTAGCCTATTGAGCCACGGCGCCGGCCTTTTTTTTTTTTTTTTTTGACAAAGAGTTAGACAGTGAGAGAGAGACAGAGACAGAGAGAATGGTCTTCCTTCCATTGGTTCACCCCACAAATGGCCGCTATGGCCAGCGATGCGCCGATCCGAAGCCAGGAGCCAGGCACCTCCTCCTGGTCTCCCATGCAGGTGCAGGGCCCAAGCACTTGGGCCATCCTCCACTGCCTTCCCGGGCCACAGCAGAGAGCTGGACTGGAAGAGGAGCAACTGGGACTAGTACCCAGCGCCCCAACCAGGACTAGAACCTGGGGTGCCAGCGCCACAGGTGGAGGCCTAGTGAGCCACGGCGCCGGCCATGGATATCTTATTGGTAGATATCTTGTGCTTTAGGTGGAATTTCTTCCCCCATCCCCCCAGACCTTTCTGTGTCCAGCACTCTGAAGACCTGTCAGCCAGAGATTGGAAGCATTTTACAGAGTGCAGATCTGAGATTTCATCCTTGCTGGGAACCCGGCGCACTTCTCACACCCTTGATGGCTACAGTCAGAAAAGGCAGGCTCGCGTGCCCTCTGGTGCACTTCTCACACCCTTGATGGCTACAGTCAGAAAAGGCAGGCTTGCGTGCCCTCTGGCACACTTCTCACACCCTTGATGGCTACAGTCAGAAAAGGCAGGTTCCCGCGCCCTCTGGCGCACTTCTCACACCCTTGATGGCTACAGTCAGAAAAGGCAGGTTCGCGCGCCCTCTGGCGCACTTCTCACACCTTTGATGGCTACAGTCAGAAAAGGCAGGCTCGCGTGCCCTCTGGTGGCTTCTAGGACTCCGCACAGGACTCGCGGCCGTTTGCCACAGACTCCATCTCCCAGTGGTCCCCACGGGCATCCTGCTTCAGAGGACCGCGTCTCCCAGAACACCTCACAGGCTCTGGACTCAGACTCCATCTCCCAGAGTCCCGTGGGCGCCTGCCTCAGACTCCATCTCCCAGAGCCCCGCGGACAGCCGACTTCCGAGTACTCCTCTCACGGAGGGCCCTGCGGGGGTGCCCTTTTGAGGAGCCCGTCTTCCAGAGCACTCTGTGCAAATCCCTAAGACCCCATCTCCAAGAGCCCCATGGGTGCCTCAGACTCGAACTCCCGGAGCCAGCGAGCGACAAGCCTCAAAGGACTCCATCTCCCAGTGGTCCCCACGGGTGTCACGCATCAGAGGACCGCGTCTCCCAGAACACCTCATGGGCTCTGGACTCAGACTCCATTTCCAAGACTCCCGTGGGCGCCCGCCTCAGACTGCATCTCCCAGAGCCCCGTGGGTGCCCGCCTCAGACTGCATCTCCCAGAGCCCCGTGGGCGCTCGCCTCAGACTCCATTTCCCAGAGTCCCGTGGGCGCCAGCCTCAGACTCCATCTCCCAGAGCCCCATGGGCGCCCGCCTCAGACTCCATCTCCCAGAGCCCCGTGGGTGTCCAGCTTCCTAGGACTCCGTCTCACGGAGGGCCCTGCTGGGGTGCCGTATTTGAGGACCCCAGCTTCCAGACCCCCTGAGCATGAAACTCTCAGAAAGCCATCTGCGAAAGCCCCGCGGGCGCCCGCCCCCGACTCCAACTACCAGAGCCCAGCCAGCGACAAGCCTCGGAGGACTCCATCTCCCAGGGGTCCCCGTGGGCGTCTTACATCAGAGGACCGCGTCTCCCAGAATGCACTGTGGTCTCCTGCTTCAGACTCCATCTCCCAGAGGTCCCCGCGTGCACTGTGCATCAGAGGACCGCGTCTCCCAGAACTCCACGCGCCCCCCCCCCCCGCCTCTGACGCCATCTCCCAGAGCCCAGTGAGCCACAGCCTCAGAGGACTCCATCTCCCAGAGTTCCTAGCAGGATGCTTACGTCAGAGGACCGCGTCTTCCAGATAGCACTGTGGTCTCCCGCTTCAGACTCCATCTCCCAGAGGTCCCCGCGCTCACTGTGCGTCAGAGGGCCACGTCTTCCAGAACACCTCGCGGGCGCTCATCTCAGACTAACTTTCCAGGGTCCTGTGAGCGCCTGCGTCAGACTCCATCTCCCAGAATTCCTAGCAGGATGCCTACGTCAGAGGACCGCTTCTCCCAGAACACCTTGCAGGCGCTCACCTCAGACTCCATCTCCAGGGACAAGCTTCAAAGGACTCCATCTCCCAGTGATCTCCGCCGGCACCGCGCGTCAGAAGACCGCGATTCCATGAAGGCACCGGGGCGTCCATCCTCAGACCCCGTCTCCCAGCGCTCCCCGCGGGCACACACACACACACACACGTTATCCTCAGAACGTTGGAGCCCTAGAGTGTGGAGTGCAGAGCACGACAGGATATCTGTCACAGATGCGTGGACACTCACGACGCGTGGTGGGAGACGGCGCTTGTGTGGAATCCACAGGCCGGAATGAAAGTGGAATGCACACGATCAGTGCACCCTCCTTCTTACAGGGCCAACAGAGGCTTCGGGCGTCAGGCGTTGCGCCACAGCGGCTTAAGTGGCTGCCTGCAACGCCAGCATTCCCTATGGGCGCTGCTTAGATCAAGGCTACTGCACTCCCAATCCAGTTCCCCGCTGATGTGCCTGGGAAAGCCTTGGGTGGTGGCCAGAGTCTTGCACCCGTGCCACGCCCATGAAAGACACAGAGGGAGTTCCAGGCTCCTGGCTTCAGCTTGGCCCTCCCCACTATTGTCGCCATTTGGGGAGTGAACCAGCAGATGGAAGATCTGTCTCTCCCTCTGTCACTGTAGCTCAAGAAAGAAAGAGAGAAGGAGGGAGGGCGGGAAGGAAGGAAGAGGAAAAAAAAGAAATTTAAAAAGAAAAGGAGTCTTAGGGAGCCTGTTTCACCGTCCCGCCATTCAAGGCCACAGCTGCAGACCCATCAGTGAAGAGCAGGTCTGCACCAGAAATCTCCAGAGCTTTAATATTTGTCTGCTGTCCAGGACCACGGGCAATAAATTACTGTTGTGATCTACTTCCTGAAAACCCATAACCCCAGTCCCATTGTGAGGAAAGTCAGAAAAGAGAAACTCATGGCATAAAGCTGGAGACCTAGAAGCCATGAGCGATTTTCTAGTAAAAATACATAAAAGTTTGGGCCAGTGTTGTGGTGTAGTGGGTTAAACCACAACCTTTAGTACCAGCATCCCATATGGGCACCGGGTAAGTCTCTCCCTGGTACTCTGACACCATCAGAAGCACATGTCCTACCTCTCCAGTCTATGCATATCCTGGAGCCTGTGTGAAGTGGCACAGACCCTAAATGCCTCCATTCCACTTTTATCTTCACTCATTTCCCAGCGTGCAATCTTTCCCCTGAGGGCATGGATTTCAGGGGACACAGTGCACATCTGCTCTGGGAGATAAGTAGGAAGTGAGAGAAACCTGGAAGGAGATTCCCTGAATCTGAGATCCCCAGAGGCGATCCCAGCTCTGCCCTCCACTGCCTTCCTCTACAGTGGAGACTCCCTGGGTTCCTACAGCCACGGGACAGGTGTGGAGAGTCCTCCCCTTTGTGGTGCATCCTGCAGAGTAGTGCAGTCATGAACATTTATGTCCTTTATGTCTTAGCAAAACTGAGTTCCCATCTCCATGGAGAACCTTAGGAAAGGTCATGTGGGGTGAGCTCCTGTTTCTATGTCAGCTTTGCAACACTGAATGTAAAAATGGTCACTGAAAAAACCAGGAAGCTTGCTTATTGTGAGAGTTGAAGGATCAAATTCCACTGCATATTAACTGTAAATTTCAAGATTTAGAGGTGACTTTTTCTTTTTTTAGTTTTCTTAAAGATTTTAAAATTTATATGAGAGTTACAGAGAAAGACAGAGAGGTCTTAGATCTACTGGCCCAGTCCCCAAAAGGCTCCAATGGCACAGACTGGTCCAGGCCAAAGAGATCTTTCCCAAGTCTCCTGCATGTGTGCAGGGGACCAAGCACTTGGGTCGTCTGCCACTGTTTTTCCAGGCTAATTAGCCCAGAGCTGGACAGGAGATGAAACTGTCAGGTCCTGGACTTGTGCCCATACTGGATGCCAGCATCACAGACAGCAGCTTAACCTGCTATACCACAATGTCAGCCCAAAGTAGTTTTATTTTTAAACATTGCCTTTGTTAATGAATTAATAAATCTATTCATCCTTGATTTTTCCAGTCATTTCTTTGTTCTCTGTGAATTTGCATTTGCTCTTTGGGATACCAACCCTTCTGCATTATTGACTGCAAACATTATATGAGGTTCCCTCTGTCATTCATGAAGGGATGAAAGCATAAACTCATTTTAATGTGAACCTAAGGAGATCGTTTTAACATTAGAGACAGATAATCTTTTTTTTTTTTTACAGGCAGAGTGGACAGTGAGAGAGAGAGACAGAGAGAAAGGTCTTCTTCCGTTGCCATTGGTTCACCCCCCAATGGCCGCCACAGCCAGCATGCTGCGGCCGGCGCACCATGCTGATCCGATGGCAGGAGCCAGGAGCCAGGTGCTTCTCCTGGTCTCCCATGGGGTGCAGGGCCCAAGCACCTGGGCCATCCTCCACTGCACTCCCTGGCCACAGCAGAGAGCTGGCCTGGAAGAGGGGCAACCGGGACAGAATCCGGCGCCCCAACCAGGACTAGAACCCGGTGTGCCGGCGCCGCTAGGCGGAGGATTAGCCTAGTGAGCCGCGGTGCTGGCCGAGACAGATAATCTTGAGGTAGTTTCCTTTTTCCCTTCATTTGCTGGATTTTATTTATTTCCCCACCTCTCTGGTGTAAGCATGGTTTTAATAGCACAAGTTTCCATTAGTTGTGTTTCCAGAGTGGCCATGAGAAGCCACTCAGATGTAGTCAGCTGACGCCTAGTAATAGTTCTGCAGTATAAAGCACAAGCACATCAGAGCACTGTGTTGGTTTCTGATTTTCAGACTGCTTTTTATTTTGCTTTTTATAAACATCACAACTTGAATTAACATATCTCAGTCCATTGCTGTGGATAGAAGTTAAACCATGTGTTGTAGAAAATAGGGTGTGGAGGGAGAGTTTCTGGGTGATGTTCCATCTCTGTCTGGCTTCTTGGTGATTTGGACCTGGGTCAGTGATAAATTCATGCTTCTCTCTGGTCTGCTTTGCCTTCTAGGAGTCCAACTGTATATTATTCTAGCTATTTGTTCCTCCAGGTTATTGCTTTGCAGGTTCCTTTGAATGCCTGTTATAATTCAGGCCTATTTTTGGTTAGGAATGGCAGCAGTGGAGATGAATGTATGTGTTACTGTCGTCCCACTAAGCAGCCTGGAGTAGAGCCGATGGGTTTACTTGACAGTGTGAACTTCCCTTCGTGTTCCTGGAAGCAGCCTCGCCCCCTGCATGCAGGCAACAAGGTAGCAGGACAGAGGCACAGCAAACGATGCCATGGAAATTTACTGTCGCAGGGAGCTATGCCATGCTGCATTGGCTTCTGCATTGGCAGTGCTTAGCCTCGCCAGCAGGGCCATCCGCTGGGGCTGCCTCCTTCATACAGTCAGCCCTTCTTTCTTAGTGACCATGGCTCCTGTGATAGCAAAGCTACAGGTTTGGGTGGTGGAAACAGTGGAGGAGTCAACAATGTGGAGCAGCTTGAGTGTATTTCTTTGGTGCTTGAATGATCCTGGCCCACCTGTACAGCTTCTGTGTCTAACATCACTGCCTTCTGTTGCATGGTGGCTCTGCTCTGTCGTGTGTCAGAGACCTTTGGGTGGCATTTTCATTTATAGAGCATGAGCCTAGAAATGTCACTTCCCCAGTGGTTTTAAGTATTAGTTCTTTGGCCTCAGTTTCTGGAAACTCTCTGTCTTAATGTCATGGCCCAGCACAGAGATGGTGTTTTTCTGGCACTTGCTGTGTTGAGATGGCTGTGTGGCCTTCCTGCTTTATTCCATAAGTGAATGAAATCCTGTTTCAAAGATCAGAAACATGATTTGTTCATTTCTGAGTCATGGACAGCAGGCTACCTCACTGGCAAGGCATGCATAAATGGTTATCGCATGATACCTGGTAAAAGCCACTTGGTTCTTCCTTTAGTTCTGAAAAACTAAAGCTTGTAGAGTGTTTTTGTAGGCTACAAGCTGACCATTATTGAAGGTGCTGTGAGCATGTGGTAACCCTGTATTCCTAGTCTTGGTTAGCATGTGAACGGTTGTGTCTAATGTCTGAAAAAATATATAGATATATATTTCTAAACCTCCAAGAAATAAAGGAAACAAATTGCTTTCAAATGCTTGTGAGTATTTAAATGTTTGGTAAGTAAAATAGTAGTATCATAGACTTAATAATAGCTCTGTCTCCCCATACGTACATGTTATAAAAAGTTACTAGGAAATTACTGAAAACAATGGCTAGCTTTCTTTAATATTATTTCTCTCTAGAGTAGAGTGTAGATCCTTTCTAAGCCAGATAAAGTACTGAAACAGTAATTACTGAACATAAGTTTACGTATTCTATTTGACATCTTGCTTCCGTATGATAAGAAGAAGCAAAATATCTTGGAGTATCTTAATGAATATGAAAAGGATAAGCCGGTGCTGTGGCTCACTAGGCTAATCCTCCACCTTGTGGCACCGGCACACCAGGTTCTAGTCCCGGTTGGGGCGCCGGATTCTGTCCCGGTTGCCCCTCTTCCAGGCCAGCTCTCTGCTGTGGCCCGGGAGTGCAGTGGAGGATGGCCTAAGTCCTTGGGCCCTGCATCCCATGGGAGACCTGGCTCCTGCCATCGGATCAGCGCAGTGCACCGGCTGCAGCACACCGGCTGCGGCGGCCATTGGAGGGTGAAC